GTATAAGATTGTTAATTATAAGGATTAATGATAATGGATATGAAATGTTAAACGTGTTGATCAGGATATATGTGCATGTGGGTATATATTACAGAAATAATATATGTTTTTATATGATATGATCGTAATAAATGTTCATGCATTTGATATGAATTATAGGAGGTTAAGTGTATTTATTTATGAAATGTTTTACGGTTTCCATTATATGTTTATATGCCTCGCTAAGTCTATGACTTAACGTGTGATTGTTTCACACGTAGGTTTCGAGAAGAGAAAAATTGATAAAAGTTATACAAGACAGGTCAGTTTCTCCTTTCCAAAGATCAAATCAGAAAAGAAGTTAATAGTATGTATTTTGTAAAAATTATAGTGGCTGGCATGTAATAAAGATTTCAATACGATATGCTCTAATTGGTTTGTAAAATCATATGAATGAGTTTTCTAATGTTTAAACGTATTTATGTAAATGTATAGTAATGAACGGTTAATTTTTTTACGAGTTTTATGTATGTTTTACGAAAATCACTGTAGCAGTGCATCGATGCATAAATTTGCTTCGAAATTTTGGTGCATCGATGCACTGCAGCACTGTTCATGGCATTGTTCACGATATTGTTCATACTGTATTTTACTGTTCATAAATACGTTTTTATCTCAAAATTTTATACCAAACACAATTGAACAATATATTAAAAAGGCAATGTGACATCTCGAACTCGTATCCGGGTCGGGTACGGGTTGGGGTGTTACATGACTGTTCCAAGACTTGTGTCTATTCTAGATATAAAGGACAAAAAGATATAGTACATTAAAAGAATTAGTCACGAACATGTTATGTTGAATCATGACTTCCATAACTTAGGTAACAATGACATATTGCTAGATGTCACTCATTGTTTGTAATATTAGAATAGTTCTAATTATTACTACCAACATTACAGGAACCTACAGGGTCGCACCCAATGGTTGAAAAGAGAGCAACTCATAAATGTCACATATGTACAATTTGATTGTACATGAATAAATTGTGTATTTAATATATATATATATATATGCGTGTATGTAGAGAGAGAGTAATTTTAATTGCACAAGAATACTAGATTTAATAATATAATTAAAGTAATTATACTCCCAATTAAATTTGGAATTTTTAAAAAACCCTAATAGTTAGGGCGACACATATATAAAGGATATATTGGTCTAGCATTCGTTTTTTATGTCTTTTAAAAAATCTAGAAATTCCTAGAACCCTTTTAGAAAAGGTTTTGCTCTTAATAGCTATTCAACAGGGTGAACTAAGTGGAGGTCGAGACAAATTTTCGTGGAGGCTAAGATTCGAACTGTTCGTGATTTCCATTAGTCGTTGTTGTATTTGTTGTTTTTCAAGGAACTCAATGTAAGTAATCACATCTCTTCCTACCAATTTCAGATTTAACGTACTTGGATTGCTGGTGAGACTGTCACAGTTTTGTTTCCGCTGCGCCATAGGTGCGCTGACGGTCCCAACATAAATATGTGAAGGGCAGGGAGGATAAGGACGCAAAGGACACTCTCGAGATGGTGAAAAAGGATAAGACAACCAACATAAAGGATCCAATTGGTTTATCGACTGTTTTGGGGTTTGACGAGAACTGCAAAAAGGTCATCAATGAAGTCATGAAAGCATACGGTGTGATCGATGTTATGGTTAACAATGTCGTCGTACACCATGAGACAAGCAACGTCGAGGAGATCGATGAGGAAAGGCTTTTAAGGGTGTTTAGGACCAACATCTTCTCTTACTTCTTCATGATCAGGTAATGAAAATCAGGCGCAATGTGTGCTTTGATCATAGTACTAAGTCGTGATTGTCATGGTTGCGGATATTGTGCATTATGTTGTGATTTATTAAGAAGTTTCTTTACTGCAATTTAGTAGAGTTAATTATATCATGTATCCCTAAACCATGACTTTTATTTCTTTAGTGCAAGATATTTTAATTTCATCCTCAAATTATGACTTTTATTATAAATTAGTCATTAAACTTTTGAATATTATAATTTCATCCTCAAACTATGACTCTCATCTAAATTGGTTCTCAAACTTTTGCATCTTTCAATTTTATTCTCAAATTCATCCATATATGTAATTTGTTTCAACCGTAGTTTAACCTAGATTTTATTTTTGTCAAACATATAATAATATAACTTGGTTAACTTGGTTGTGGTTAGGGGTGAGCAAACTCGACTTGATTCGAAAAATCAAATTTTCCGACTCGATTCAACTAAAAAAACTCGAGTCGAATTGACTTTGAGTTTCAATTTCATAAACTCGACTCGACTTGAAAAAATTTCAAGTTCAAATCGAGTGGTAAAATGCAACTCAAATAACTCGAGATTTTTTAGTAATTAGTGGATTTATTTTCAAGTTTGAGTCTAGTCTTTGGACTTTGTATGATATATGTATATCATTTAAGAAGAAAAATATGAATAAATATATTTGTATTATATAAATGGTTATAGAAAGTTACTTAAATTAGAATCAAATGATATTATAAATATTTACAATTAAATTTAAACATAAACTCGAAAAGTCAACTTGATTCAAATCAAATTTTATAAATTCGACTCGATTTTTTTAAATCAAGTCTGAGTTGTAAAATAGGACTCGTCAACTAGAATAACTCGAAATTTTTTGACTCGACTTGATTGAACGTTCACCCCTAATTGTGGTTAGTATATACATATAATTTGGGATGAAATTAAAATGTTCAAAAGTTTGAGATCAATTTAGAATGAAGATCATAGTAGGGGATGAAACTGAAATATATAGAAGTTTAAGGACCAATTTAGAATAATGGTTATAGTTTAGGGATCAAATTGAAATATTTAAAAGTTTAGGAATTAATATAGAATAAGAATCATTATTTTCGGACTTTTGATGTAATTAATTTAATTTAGTATTATGGCTTTCATTGAATACGAGTGTGACAATTTTTGTAGGCATGCTTTGGAGCACGTGAAGGAAGGCAGCTCGATAATAAACATAACATCGGTGAATGCGTATAAAGGGAACGCTACGCTGCTCGTTTACACTGCAACCAAGGGTGAACAGAGGCCTTGCACTTCAGCTGGTGAACAGAGGCATCCGTGTCAACGGTGTCGCACCGGGGCCGATATGGACTCCGCTTATACCCGCATCGTTCGCGAAGAGAAGACCTTCCCAGTTTGGAAGTCAAGTGCCGATGAAGAGAGCCGGTCACCCTATTGAAGTCGCACCGTGCTGTGTTCCTTGCTTGTAGTGTCTGCTCCTCTTACATAACTGGTCAAGTCCTTCACCTTAATGGCGGAACCGTAGTCAATTCTTGAAACGGTCATTCAAGCTCCCTGCCTTAAGTGTTTTAGTCTACTGTATAAGTACGAATGGTAATCTATAAGTAAAACTTCTAGGATGGCAACCTCAATAGCAAGAGTTTAATGTTGGTTTGATGATAATGTTGGGGTGGTTTTGTTCATGCAGGAAGTACCTACAGTCTTTTAAAGGACAGTAAATGACTCAAGTCGAGTTCAAGAGCATGATTCGGTTTAAAAATTTTAAAGTTGAATTTGACTCTGATTCGAAAGTTTGCGAGTTTAAAATCCTTAATTTTTCTTAAAATTTCAAAAGTTTACGAGTTTAAAATTCTTAAATTCTTAAACTTAAATTGAAGTTCGACTTAAATTTAAAAGAAATTGAATTTGAAGTGTTTTTAGACTTAGATCAAAGTTCATTAACTCAAACTCGAGTTTAAATTTGAACATTATTATTTTTTTGAAAGATTTAAATTTGAACATTAAATAATAAATATAGGAGAGCTTTATATAATATATTTTTTAAAAAAATAATATATAAATATTAATATTAGTAGTAGTTTAAATTAAGAAATTAAAATTTTAATATACTATTTTTCTGAATTATTTGGGATTTTAGATATCATGTAGTTCGTTTTGGTTTATTAAGAATTCGCGTTTAAGTTCATTTGTTTCGGTCTTAATTTCATTCATTTTGGTTTATTAAGAATTCAAGTTTATTAGATTTAAATATTGATTGAATTTTAATTGAGTCGAGATCTATCTGATTTTATTTACAACTCTAATTTTTATAATTCTCTAAGAAAAAGCTATAACTCTAATTGAATAAGACCAAATGTTCACATCTGGTGGTATCAGTGCAGCACACTATTGTGTGTAAAATACATATAAATATTAATATTATCTAAACTTAAATTAGAGTTTGATTTAAAATTGAAACTCGAGTTTAAACCTGAACTTGAATTTAAACTTAAATTTTGAATACATGAAAGTTTTATACTTTTATTTATAAAGTTAACATATAAATATTAGTATTATTAATAAATTTAATTTTAAAAAATTAAAAATCTAATGTATTGTTTTTTAAAGTTGTTGTGATCTTTTTAAGTCGTGTATCATTAAGAATTCGATTCAAACTTGAATTCGAGTTTATTTAATTCAAGTGTGGATTAGATTTTGATCGAATTAAATTCGAGTAGCTCATGATCTGTTCGTCTTATTTTTAACAAAAATTAACATATAAATATTAGTATTATAAATAAATTTAATTTTAAAAAAACTAAAAATTCAATATATTATTTTTTAAAGTTGTTTGTGATGTTTTTAAGTCATATAACAATTAGCTTGTTTCAGTTCATTAAAAATTTGACTCAAACATAAATTCGAGTTTGTCATTTCAAGTGTAGACCAGATTTCGATTGAATTAAATTCGAATAACTCGTAACCTGTCTCACCTTATTTATGACTCTAATTCTTCCAATCTCTAAGAAGAAACTAGGACCCTAATTGAATACAATCAAATGGTCACATCTGGTGGTATCTTTCTCTGTCAGTGCAGCATACTACTGTGTGTGCAAAATACTGTATTGTATTGTATTCAAATCCCAAACCCAAACTTTCCATTGAATCAAGTGTTACCATGAAAATTGTACCTTTTCTTCAACCTAAATATTAGGTAGTATATGTATGTTTCGACATACAATAAGAAACTGATCGAGAATCCGCGGATTCAGCCAACTGCGAGTGCTCTGCCAAGCTATCAGGATTCACAACATTGACTCGGTCCATCGGGAGGTTCGCAATCGCCTCAGCCACATCTCTGAATTCAAGAACCCCCCCATCTTTACACTTAGAAAGCAACCGAGCAGCTTCTTGCTTTGTCATCTTCACCTTTACTTTTATGGGACTTCCTTTCGAATAAAAATCACTGCGACTTCTCTCCATGTCGTCTCGATCTTTAACTTCCAGCAACGGTTTTGTACTCGGTATCGAATCATCGAAGAAACTCTTTTCCTTGCTTGTCGTGTATAGCCTCTTATTCGACCCTGCGACGAGTTCACTGGACATGACCCATCGGATGCAGGAAGCAACGAATGTAAGCATTCTTGTGTTTGTATAGTGTCTGCTGGTGCAGGAGGAATTAAATGCATGGGTGTGTTTATATAGAGAAAAAGAAGCTGGCGAGAGCCAAGGAGTGTTGGATGGGCAAAGTGGCTATGACTGAACCGAGGGGTGGGTCAATGCGTCAGGTTCACGTAATTAGGAGTGCTGTATCTGCGCGGGATAGATCGAGAGGAACGGATTTTGTTATATATATACATATTTGTATTTTTTATTAGTAATCTATTTTGGATTCATAGAACTTTAGAAACTAGTCTATGTTAACATAAAATCTTGTATTTATCCATATATTTAATAGGTCTATAACATTTCCGGGAAGTTGAGGTGAGATTCACAACAAATTCATTCATGAATATTTATCCTCCAAAACACTTACATAAATCTTCATTCCCAAGAAATGCCTTAATCAAAAAGCATGGCTTTGATGATTTTTAAGCATTAAACAAAGACTGGGATTGTTAGGTCAATGATGTTTTGCTTTAGGTCCTTTACAAGTCATAAGTTCAAATACTGTTTAAAGAAAGTAAATCGCCAGATGCTTTAAAGGTGAAGATATGGTGGTCAAGTCAAAAGTTAAAGAGTGTTATTCAAATAAATAAATAAAAAGTTAAGGGTGATTTATTATAAATGTCACTTTTACTTTTATCTTGAAAAAAAACAGTAAATATTAATCATTTACCTATCAATTTGTAATAGTTCGGTCGTTATATTGTTAACTTATTTACACCTTCAATAAAAAAAATCAATAAACAAATCGTCTTCTGACTATAAAACGTTATTTTGTTGAGTCTTATGATTATTAAAAGTTATAAAATAGTCTTCCATAGAATTTGCAGACACCTAGGGAAAAGTCGACGAGCCCTGCGCTTACTGCAACGGCGGAGCCACCAGAAGATCCTCCAGGTACCGTATCTGGTGCACAAGGATTTGTCGGAGTGCCATAATGTATATTTTCTCCATTCATACTAAAAAGAAAAGGAAACAGTTACATATATTAGGTGACATATATCAAATACGGCGAAAATATTTTCTCCATGACAGTCTTGCCACACAGGTGGTACCTCCCTCTAAGACACTGGGCGGCTGAATGAGTCCTTTTACCCCTTTTGTCTCTCAGCAACAAAGTCTTTCCAGAAAAATATAAATATATCATAGAAATTGGCTCAATTAGCATTTAGACTTTGGTTGATAGACTGCAGTAAAATAGAAACTGACTGTCTTGGTACACCTATGAACATGTATTTTTTAATACAAGTACCCATGTACAAGAAACAGGTTTCAAAGAAATAGGCGAAGCTGCAACAATCTGTTAAAAGATGAAAACTTTACATTTTACTAACTCTCAAAATTTTGACATTTCACTAAGCAGGTTTACTATTTTACATAATTTGATTGTAGTAGGTGAAACCAACTATGGCAACTATAAATTTTCTGCATATGTGAGCGTCTTCTCCCATTAAAGAACTGATCAGCATAATTGTCATATAAGATAAGATTTCATACGTAAAAGAATTAAATAAATCAGGAAAGATTCATCCATGTCCATAAATTAGCTTCAAGATGAAGGAGACGAATATACCGACTCCGTTTTGCTTCATTTTGCATGATCATGGACGATTCTAAGAGATTTGGAACTGTTGTTTTGCTAGAGTTTCTTTGCCTGAGTTTTCTTGTTAATAGCCTTTGCAATGTGATCTCGGATGCTGCTTGTCTTGAAAGTGAGAGACAGGCTCTTCTGAGGTTCAAACAAGACCTTACATGCTTCAGACCTGCTTGCCTCTTGGAGCAGCAATGGGGGCAACTGTTGTGACTGGACTGGGATTGTATGCGACAATGTGACTGGTCGTATCGTTGAGCTTCATCTTGGAAATCTTCGTAACCCAAGCGATGAAACCGCCTTTCCAGGCAAGCCTTTCAAGCGATCTAGATTGAGTGGTAAGGTAGATTCTCTGCTTGGTTTGAAGCATTTGGGGTACCTGGACCTGAGTGGAAACAACTTCGGAGGACAAATTCCTGGGTTCCTAGGTTCATTGCACAGTCTCAGATACCTCATCTTCTCTAATGCTGGATTCGAGGGATCGATCCCTGCTCAACTCGGAAACCTTACAAATGTGCAGTATCTTGATGATGCATTATATGATTCCCTGTAAGCAGAGAATCTTCAATGGCTTACAAATCTTACAAAGCTGAAACACCTTGATTTGAGTGGCATAACTCTCAGCAACGCCTCCGATTGGTTTGAGGTGACAAGTGCTCTCCCTTCTCTTAGTGTCTTACATCTATCCGATTGTGATCTTGATCCTTTTCCTCCATTGAAAACTGTTAATTTTTCAACTCTGGTAACTCTGGAACTTTCCTATAACACATTTAGTAACTCCATTTTCAGCTGGATTTTTACCCTTACTTCCCTGATTTCACTTGATCATAACAGTTTCCGGGGTCATTTCCCTGATAGTCTAAGAAACATGACCTCTCTTACCTATCTCAGCTTATCAAGCAACCAATTCAATTCATCCATACCCGGTTGGATGTACGGTTTGAACCATCTTCAGTACCTCAATCTCAGGCCGAATAACTTGCAAGGCACAATCTCGAGGATGTTGAAAACTTGACATCGGCCATAAGCCTCATCTTCACTAACAACAATCTTGAAGGAGCAGCATTAAGATCATTGGGAAACCTTTGCAGCTTGACAAATCTTGTTCTGTCTGGTGTCAGGTTGAATCAAGACATGTCACAAGTCTTAGAATCTCTGTCAGGATGCATGTCCAATAGACTCGAGTCCTTGTTTCTGGTTAACTGCATTATTTCTGGTCACTTGAGCAATCAAATTGGTCTATTCAGAAATCTACGTTTCCTTTACCTTACTAAGAATTCGATTTCTGGTTCAATTCCAGACTCATTAAGAACACTTGCATCCTTGAGAGAAGTGAACATATCCGAAAATCGATTCAACGGGTCTCTACTTGAATGGCTTGGAGAGCTCAAGGAACTGGAAGTCTTATGGATTGGTAAAAACATGTTACAGGGTGCAGTTTCTGAGGTTCATTTCTCTAATCTCCCAAACTCGTCTTTTTCTATTAAAAATTGATGATATTCTTAGTTGAACGCCAACTTGATGATTATGATATGATAAAATTTGATCTAGAATCTCAAACAACTTTCATATACTAATCATTATGTTAACGTTTAGCTTAGACAGTCGCTAATTTTTTTAATGGAGAAAGACGAGTTTGGAACATAAAGAATAGTCGAATGACCATTTTGTAACTTTTAATAGTCAATGTACTCAATAAAGTAACACTCTATTGTCAAAGGAACATTTTGTAACTTTTAATAGTCGAGGGACTTAATAAAATAATACCTTATAGTCGGGATCATTTGTATACTTTAGCCTAAAAATAAACAAAAAGATACAAACATAATTTTATTTTTTTAAACTCGATTCATTTACACCTTTAAATACAAATTTTCAAGCACTTTTGACAGTTTCATACCCTTGAGTGATGGCTCAAAGCTAAAGGGGAGCCAAACAACTAGGCTCAAACCCACGGTTCACAGGGCTTTCATATACGAGGATTGAATCCAACAACGTCTTTTGGTATACCAATAAGGCCCAATACTAATCGCTACAACATGGCGCTCATGGGGCACTAGGTCGACATTAGGGACCCTCGGTCTGCTTCCTTTGTTTACTTGTCGAGTTGAAGCAAACCCCAAATCATCCCACGGGTGTTATCGGGGGAATGCCTGAGAGTACTGGTTTAAGGATTGACTGTGCTGAGGTTTGTGCCTCCGACGCCTCGTTTAATGATCAATAATGAAACACCCTAGTAAAATGACCTCATTGGGAGCACAAGTGAACAAGAACCGAGCTATCATGACAAGGGGACCGGGGTTAGACCTTCGAGTGGAATGAATTGGCAGAACATCTTGTGCAAGCTCACCCATGACAGTTAGGCCTGTCACGGGGTTCACCGACATGAGCCCGCATGTGTTGTGGCACCCTGGTCTGACCTTGGAGGAGCAATTGTGGCAATAGTGAGCATTAGCTCTAGCACATCGAGTCGAATGGCATCGAGGGGCGCAGTAGGTTGATTAAAGGTAGTTTTCTTCACAAGTAACCCATAATAACCTCCCATTCAAAACACAACAAAATTGGATTCACAATAGTAAAGTGCTTTAAAATTGTTGGCAACATAGAGATTGGTCTTGGTATATCTGTGCACTGGCAAAACAAACTCGTTTGGCCTCTGAAGTTGTTCAAGATTCTGATAGAACGGCGATACAGAAGATCGAAAGAAAGCTGAGAAGAAGCCATTTATGGAAGAAAAAAGCTCAGGGCCAAGGAGATAAAAGGTGAATTCATTTATTTTCAGGCAAATTAGTTCTAAAAACCATTGTTCATGTGAAAATTTAGGCGTCATTTGCATATAGCAGCCTGAAAATGAGTGCCTTGAAAGGCAGGTTCACATGCTAAAGCTAACGTTGCGTGGAACTAGATTTCATTGTTGTGTGTAAGCAAATAGTTGAAATAAATTTTGTAGTCAAAAAGCTGAAGAGAAAAATGGAGCCTGATGGGGATTGATGCCAAACATGTTTTTACAATTGAAACCAACAATTCACAAAGAAATACATTTGGGTCCACCTTCTGAGAAAAAGAAACCAAGGAACTATATATATTCATCATATATCCCTCAAACTTTAGGTACATTGTTCTTCTACTACATAGTGGCCTCACTCCATACTTCAAAGAAAGGGTTTGGGGTAATTGAGTAAAGGGAAAACTAAACATTTCCCTTGCAAACTTTTGTAAAATGCCAAAAACATCACTACTATGGGGGAATATTTCACATGATACTGCAGCTGTTTGCATTTTCGTCACTGAAGTAATGAGCATAAGATTCAGAGTGTGGTGGATGCATTGGGGGAGGACCATAGCTTGGTTGGGGATATGGTTGAGCATACATCATTGGCTGATACATTCCCCCGTTTGCTCTTTGTTGATTCGTCATCATGGCCATATATTGATGCTGGTTATAGGGATTCCCTGGCCCCATCCCTTGATAATACCCACCACCATTATTCATTGGTGCTGGTAGTCCTTGCACTGCTGCAAAATCACCCATCTGGTTCATTGGGTAGTTTCCCATTTGGCCCATGTCAAAACCCATTTGCCCCATGTTCTTTCCTCCACCGCCGCCTCCATGTCCGTGGTGGCCGTGCCCGGTGGCAACACCCCCACCACCACCTCCTTTGACATGATTAAGAACATCAATGTCTTGAAATCCACCACTTTTGAGATGGCTCCAACCACCATCACCATTTTTGCCCCCACCTTTTTTAGCTCCATTGCCATTATTGATTCCGCCGCCGCCGCCGCCATGGCCTCCCTTTCCTTTATGAGAAGAGCCTTTGTTATTAACATAATCATCATCATCGTCGTCCCATTCATTTTTACCCTTTTTACTACGAGCACTTGAATCTTTCCCACCTTTATCCTTCTTGAAAAAACCAAGTAAACCTCCTCCTCCACGACCTTTTTTACCACCATGTTTATCTCCTCCTTTCCCTCCTTTGCTGTTCTTTTCACCTCCTTTTTTCCCTCCATTACCATGCTTCCCTTCTTTGTTGTTCTCCCCCATGCCTTTCATCACCATAGGCATATCAATAGCTACCCCTTTCCTTCCATTATCAACACCACCACCACCTTTTTTACCATTCATGGCTTGGCCATTCATCATAGCATTTGGCCCCCCATTGCCTTTTCCCATCATAGCCACCATCTTGTTTTGCATTTGTCCATGACCATGACCAAGTTCCTCATCATCAAACTCATCATCTTCTTCATCATCATCGAACTCGTCATCAAATTCATCATCAAAATCATCATCACTTCCATCATCAAAATCATCATCAAAATCATCATCACTTCCATCATCCTCAGGCAAGTGAAACTTAACAGATTTCTGGTCCTTGGGAGGGTTAAACCCTTTCATCATTTGCTGCATATGTTGTGGTAGCACCAATTTCTGCCCACCTTTCTGCTGGTTATTTCCGCCGCCACCGCCCTTTTGAGACTTGTTGTCCTTCCCACCTTTGCCAACATCCATATTCATGTTCTTGAACTGGTTGGGGAAATTATTACAACCACCCTTTTGAGCCCCACCCCACAACTGAGCATGTTTCCCAGATTTCTGCAGCTTCTTAATAAGCACAGCCGGATCGACATTACCGGACACTGTTATCTTCCCTTGATCTGCATTTATGCTACAGGAATACACCCCTAACAAAAAAACCAAAAATAAAATCAATAACCCCAAAAAATAAACTCAAAATACCTAGCAATAACCAAAGAACTCGGTGGTTAAAGCATGATTAGAGATTCCAAGTTCGGATACGATGTCTGCAAGAGCATTTGAGCGATCGTTGTTAAATGATTAAGAGCCACTATTCTTATAATCCATCCAGACTAATCAAACAAAAATATCTAGCTAAAAAACGAACACACGTATATATGTATAAATACCATCAACTTTCTGCAGAAGCTTCCTTATTTTCTGCTTACACCCATCACAGCTACACTGTATATTCACTTTGAGAACCCATGTCTGAAAACAAAACAAGAAACAGAGTTGAAAATCAAACCAAAAAGCATCTTTGGGAGAGAAAAAACTTGAACACGTGAACTAATTCGAGCTAACAATACCTGCATCTTCATGACATCTTGTTTATTCATCCTTTAAACGACAAAGGAGAAAAAAAAGATGTAAAAACTGAAACTTTAGGCTCTTTGGTTTTTTGAAAACAGAAGAATTGGAGAACCCTTTTGCTACTAGCTTTTAAGAAAGCAAGTAGAGGTTAAAGGCGGTTGTCGGGGCATTAAAATGCTGCTCTTTTAGCTTTCCTTCATGGAAGAAATAGAGAGGAGAGAGAGAGATAGAGAGAGAGAGGGAGAGAGGGAGAGAGGGAGAGAGAGATAGAGAGAGAGAGAGAGGAGGCAGTAGCAGAAGAGGCAAAGTATCTTGAAGATTTAAATATAGAAAAATAAGTGAATAGATAATGAAAAACAGCTAGCTTGATCTGTCTCAGGGACTGACAGTGTGAGCCAAGGTAGCTCAGTTGCCTTGGCTTTATACTATTTGAAGCTTCTCCCGAGCGATTTACAGCAAAATTTGTTTTTTAAATTAAAATTGTATAGTTTTTTTAGGGTAAAGTGTAGTAATGGTCATTGAACTTTTGTAAAGCTTTTATTTAGATCTTTCAACTTTTAAAACTTGTAATACAGTCCTCTAACATTTAGTCCGTTTGCAATATAGTATCTGGCGTTACACTCTCGTTAGTACATTTGCAATATGGTCACTGAATTTTTCATGCACTTGCATTTAGGTCTCTCAACTTTTAAAACTTGTAATTCAATCCTCAATTTAAACCCCAAATTCCTTTTCGATCTCGAAATTCCTTTTTCGCTTCTCTCTTCTCATTTCTACCGTAACTTTTCAGTCGGGGATGCATGAGAAATTATAATCTAACTTTGAATTATGTGGAGATGTTGACTTGAATAAGGGTCCATTGAGAGAAGACCCGACCAATGGACTATTGGAACCATCAACGATTCAAGTATAATGTTAGATACAAGTCATCTCAGGTGAAGCATAGATGTTCGATGAAATGCTTATGAGAAAAAATGGGGTTAGAAATGCAGAGTTGACAAATACTACTAAGATGAATAAGTATCATTATTGAAAGTCACCAACAAAACTGGAATTATTTTGTATAAAGGACATATAATAATTTCTTCGTTTAATCCTTGTGGTTAAAGATTTTCCAACAGATGACAAATATAATGAATATCAAACAATCTCAACTCGAAAATATTATGTCATGATGTAAAGATTGCGTGCATGCAGAATTGTCTTCTAAAGTTATAATTCAATACAATTCAACTATAAAATTTTCAAAACATGTAAAAAATCCAATTCGTTCACGATATATCATTATCATAATCAACATGAACTTATTAAAAAGAATACAACTCACAGGACGCCGAAGACCACATGTCGAATCAATACAATTCCCAGTAAAGTACCTGCAATTTGCGTTGAGCCTGGCGATTTCACTATGTCGATACAACCAATTCCCTGATTTAAAAAAAAACCAAACAAGAAGATCAAAAAAATTTAGCCTAGGACCTCTTTCACTTCTATTCTGATGAATTGATATCTTTCTAAGGAACTAAAAGTTTTGATTAAGAAGAAGAAAAAAAAAATTAGATGGTTTTGGTTCAAACTAAAATTGATATCCAGATCATTGACATGCAGTTCCATAAACATAAAAATTTCAACAAAAAACACAAAATTCGAGTTGAAAATAGGAAAGTGCGAAAGAGGAAAAGCTTACTTCCGGATAGCCCAAAAGAGAAAATAAATATCTTCTTGCAAGTGAGGGGGGGAGAGGCTAAGAAATAAAGCAATCGATGTTGTGTTCTAGCAATTCTTCCTCCATTTTTTCTTTGTAAATAAAAGCTGAAAGATAGAGCACTAATTGGGTTTACAATTTACATAGGGAAAATTGAAGAACAAAAACCAAACGAGAGTGCATGTGAGTGAAAGAGACTAAGAGGTGAATGCGTTGTTCGGGACTTCATTATATTTGATCATTGTTGAAAAATCTTTAACCACAAGGATTAAACGAAGAGAAGAAATTATTATATGTCATTTATACAAAATAATTTCGGTTTTGTTGGTGACTTTCAACAATGATACTTAGTTCATCTTAGTAGTATTTGTCAACTCTGCATTTCTAACCCCATTTTTTCTCACAAGCATTTCATCGAACATCTATACTTCACCTGAGATGACATGTATCTAACATTACACCTTGAATCGTTGATGGTTCCGATAGTCCCTTGGTCGGGTCTTCTCTCAATGGACCCTTATTCAAGTCAACAACTCCACATAATTCAAAGTTATATTAGAATTTCCCTACATTCTCGAATAAAAGTTACGTGTAAATGAGAAAGATAAGCGAAAAAAGAAATTCGAGATCGAAAAGGAATTTGGGGTTTATAATGAAATTGAGGATTGTGTTACAAGTTTTAAAAGTTGGGGGACCTAAATGCAAGTGCTTGAAAAGTTTAGTGACCATATTACAAATGTACTAATGACAGTATAACATCGAGGACCATATTACAAACGGACTAAATGTTAGAGGACTGTATTGCAAGTTTTAAAAGTTAAGGGAAATGAAAGCTTTAGAAAATTCAGTGACCATTACTATACTTTACCCTTTTTGTTATTGTGGAACACTTGGTTTTTTTAACTTTTATGTGGAGTATTAATTTTAATAATTAGATTATAGGATATTGTTTTATTAAATCTCTCATTATTAAAGTTATAAAACGATCATTCGATTATAGAGTGTTGCTTTGTTGAGTCTCTCGACTATTAAAAGTTATAAAATGGTCAATCCGATTTTCATTATATTCCAAAACTTGTCCTTTGAAAGTATTATGAGCTGAACGTTAACTTACTGACTGTGATACGATAAAATTGATTCCAAAATCTCAAATGACTATTATATCTCAGTCATCATGTAACTTCCAGCTTAGAAAACCACCATTTTTTAATGAAAAAGGTCGAGTTTGGATAATAGTCGATGGACTCAACAAAGCAACATTCTATGGTGGGAGGACCATTTGTAACTTAATAGACTTAATAAAATAATACTCTATAGTCGGGGGACTATTTGTGTACTTTATTCTTTTTTAAAATATACATAAAATAAATTGTTAAATTATATGTTAGATTAATTAACTAAACTTGTTATTAATTAATAAAATAAATTGTTAAATTGTATGTTAGATTAATTAAGTAAACTTATTATTAATTAATTTTAATTGGCTAAATTTCTGTGTAGCTTTAATTCTAGAAAAAAATTGCATTATTCCTTTAATTGATTAAAGGTTTTTTTAAGGGTGGATAATATAATTTTACAATGGTACTAATTTAAAATATTGTTGTTTTTAAGGGATAAGAGATTTTTTCTTATTTTAGAGGAAATGCAATAGTTAATAGTGTTATCGGTTTGGACCTATAATAACATCATAAAATATAGAGATCAAATTATAAAAAAAAGTTGCTGTGTGGAAGTATGAATTTAGTCCAGGTTTATTCGAATTGTAAGAAAAAGATAATTCTAACATAATTGAGGGATTAAAATCAAAATTAAACCTATTTAATCATACTATGTGGATATCATGTTTTCTAATCGTGAAGATAAACCGCAGATTGTATGAAGACCAAGATGAAGCTATGCATGGTTTTCAGAACCGGACCGGTTAGCGAATCGTTATGCTATCGATTTATTGGTTTAATCGGTCGAATCAATCTGACCGGTCGGAAGAACCGGACATCATAATTATTTAAAAAAAAAAAAAAATACCAAAAATATTTAATAAAAAATAATTTTTTATATCACAAGTCATATTCAAAGCAAGTCATAACATATATAATTAAAAACCATAAAATCAAGTGAAACAAAGTGATTCAAATTAACTACAACATATATTTAAGGTAAACATATTAAAAATAATATAATATAAAATATAATTAAAAAATAAATTTGGGGCTAAAAATCATAACAAAATGATATTATTTGATTTAATTTTTTTTTAAAAACAATCTCACATGGCTAAGAAACATAGAAGAGCATCCCAAAAGTCTAAAGAGTAAAAATATGATAACAAAACAATCTCACATTGCTAAGAAACATAGAAGAGCATCACAACTAACTTCTATAAAATAATAGAGGTAATTTGTCATTCAAAATCATGGAGCCTTTTAGTGAGCATTGAGTGAATTATTCTTTCACTTCAATCAAGCTCGAATTTTAGGCTTCAATTGAGCTTCTAAATTTTTTTTTAGTTCAAGCATTTTGAGTTCAAGTTCAATATTATTTCGAGTTCGAGTTGAACTTGATAATTTTAACTTGTGAGTTTGAGTGGAGTTGAGCTTACTTTTAAAGTTTTCAAATTCGAGTCGAGCTCAGCAATACTCGAGTTCGACTTGGCTCGTTTAACAAACGACGTTTGGTTTAATTTAAAAAAAAAACAAAATTTTCGGTTTTTTCCGGTTTTCAGCGGTCCGGTTCGAACGGTTCAGCGGTTCTGACGGTTCACTAGTAGCGGTTCAATCCGGTTTAAATTGAACCGGACTAGGCACGGTTCCGGTTGAACCGGTTGAACCGGCCGGTCCGGTCCGATTTTCAAAACAATGAAGCTCTGAGTTCTCGCTTGTTTGATTCTGGTCGGTCTGGCCTTGTCTATTATCAGGGAAGTTTTACCCATTAAGAAAAAGTGCTACCAGTTTTGGTTATTATTTTAAATAAAAATGATAAAAAATTTTTAAAAATTATTTTAAATTAATAATATTTTACTTAAAGTATTAATATTTTAACTTCGGTAAAGTGTTTAATAATAACAAAACGGTAGAAAAATAACAAAATTAATAGCACTTTAAGATTTTAAATAAACTGGTAAATCACCCAAATAATAAAAACGTTAGAAATAATAATATTTCAGTAATTTTTATAATTTTATTAAAAAATAATAACAAAATCGATAATATTTTTTAACTATATATTAAAACTGTCGTACGTGATAATTTCTCAGCATCACAAATTCACAATAGGTTAAGACTTAAGTGGTTTGACTTTTAAGGCAACTTGAACATATTTGCACATGGTATATATTGAGTTGGAATGGTTAAGCACAACTATATATATAAATGGGGCGTGGTTATTCCTCTTAAAAATCTAAAATTATTATATTTTAAATTTTTTATGTCTTTTATTAAAAATTATTTTTATCATCTATAATTTTATAAATTTAAATTGTATCTAAAATTTTATAAATTTAAATTCGTCTCTCTTAATTTAAAATCCTAAGTTCATTGCTAGTTAAGCAGATATTTCAATAGTTTATATAGT